CCCTGAAGGTTTTATGTCAATTCAAATTATCTATTACTGGCAAGTCCAATGTCCATACTTTAACCCCATTTACCTAATGATTGACGTCATTGCCTACTCTGTCTAGATCTAAACATACCTTGAACTACGACTCGACGCGACGTGATTTGAAGGACAATAAACCAGATTATACCAATATCTTAAATTTTAAGTATCATGATTTTTATATATTGACGTGAATATTTTAATTTAACATTTGTATTTAATTAAATAAAAATCTAAAATCTACGTATGTAACATATAAAATAAGAAACTGCTAGACTGATTTCCTTAATTGATCGATCAACGCACAGTCGAAACTGCAGGTTCTGCATTTGCACAAATGTTCCTTAGGTTTTTTTATGGTTTAAAGGGGCAAACGAGCAAACGGATCACCTGATGGTAAGCAACTACCGCCGCCCATGGACACCTGAAACTCAAAAGTCAGAAGTGCGTTGCCACCCTTGGAGTCCCTCCCGCTCGAGTCAGCGGGAGGGGAGATTTGGGCTCCGGTAACCTCACTCACTCAGTGAAAGGCAACAAAAGAATTGCTTAACACCGGTTTAGGTGACGTAAGTGTGCATTATAAAAGATTTTTTAAACTTTTTACCCCTAATGTGGGTTGGAAATTCATAGGTATAATCGTTATTTTTGGTAGTAGCGTTATCAATCTCACAGTAAATATTCTTTTTTTAAAAGTAATAAAAATGTTGTTACTAATTATTCAAAACTATCCTTAAAAGGGGTGCAAGTTTGTATGGGGAACTTTTTTTTAACTTATTGATTCCAAACTCTCTTATAATTTGTGATGTCAAAGAATATGATGTGGAATTCTGTAGGTTGGAGTTGTCGAAAAGGCACTATTATTATTTAGCTCCCATATTATATAACAAGGTTAATAAAATGTTGACACACACACACACACACACACACGCATGCAGACATACATATGCTCTTTCAAACACCACACACATGCACAGACGAACACACACTCATACTCACACACAAACATTCCTACGTATTCTGACCCGAACAATCCTATATCATTGTTAAAAATGAATTTTTAACTTAATTTGGTTTATATTCAGCAAATATGATGAAATTTGAAACCTGTAATTTATGTTCCTGAGGTGGGCGTTAATGGCTGCAACACAGTTATAAAACTATAGCAACGATTATCAACCATATTCTACTGTGCAATTTGTTATTTATTGTTAAAAATAATAAACTGTTAATTTTATTTATTTATTTAATCAAATTATCTACCAAATATCCTAACAATTAAACATATATTTTTTAACTTTTAAAAACGTAAGTATGTTTTCCCGGCCAAATTTATTGACAAAATTGACATTTACGCGACCGAAGCTTTGGGCAAAAGCTAGTTCAAAAATATACTCTAACAAGCTATTATCCACATGATTATTACTTATTTCGTATTTCTACCTTTGAAAATGACGAACTGCCATACAATCATCATGCCTTAACCCCCTTAAAGGTGAAATTCCCAAAAAACCTTTCTTAGTGGGTGCTTACAACATAAAAAATGTAGGGACACAAGCTTTGACAGCAGTTTGTATTCGTATTCACGTATTCAAGTACTGCGTTGCACATCGCCATTCCCGTCGGTCGGTCGGGCTGCTAGTGTGTCGCGTAATTGGACTTTAAAATCATGTAGGACATTATCACCGTAAAGAACAAGCTTATCTTTCATTTATATCGCCCAATCCCAACTCAACATCAGCAAGAGCAGCAGAAAAACAGCTGTGAAAATTTGGGGTTTAGGTTCTGCGTTGATGATTCAATCAGTCAGTCAGGGCAAGTAATTTTATAATACAGATTAGAGTAAGTATATCCATACTTCTTTACATAGTATAAAATAAAGTTGCTTTTTTGTGTTGCACGCTTAGATCTTTTAAACTAAGCAACGGATTCTCCGTGTGGTAATGGATTAAGAATACGGCTTGTCACCACCCCATTCATCCTGTGAGTGTGGGTAAGAGCCGACTAAGGGAGCAAACAACGCAGGACAACAGCACTGCAAAGAGAAGGAAAATTTGAAACTAACCCGATACCAACCCGTCTGGCCAACGTGGTATAGTAGGCCAAAACCTCCTTTCTAAGGAGAGGCCTATGTCCAGTAGTGGACTGTTGATAAAGCAACGGATTTTTTAATGCGGTTTTTATTAAAGAGAAAGGGTATCGCGTATGGATTCAAGAGGAAGGTTTATATGTGTATTATGGTAGAGAAAAGCCGAGAATTTCAGAGATAATTTCCGATCCGAGAATTTTAAAGAAGTAAAAAAACATGTTTTTGTGAGCTTACATTGCCAACGCTGGCTAAACCTTACGAGATAGACCAAAATAATGTATTTACTAAGGAGTTGTATATCTTAAAATGATCTACAAAAAAGTCAGCGATGGTGTATGTCTATCTCCTAAGGATAACCCTCAGTAACCATTTTATCATTTAATTTAAATATTACAAGACAATAATGGGTTATTTACGAAGCTATTTTAAACATAGCTGCTGTGATAGCTTTAACGCAAAGCAAAGATTCTTGATGAAAAGGGAAAGAGTCTAGGTATTTTCATAGACTCATCTCAGGCCTTTGACACCGTCCCGGTGTGGATCTTTCTGCGAAAAATGGAGAGCGTTTTAATCAAGTTAGTAGGCCTTGTTTTGGATATGTTTGCTGACTATCTCAAGAATCGAACCCGATATTCTAATAATCGTGGTATACGAATATAATATATTATATTTAAGGGCGCTTCCTGTTACACACTTCACGAAGTCAGTCACATAGGTTGCAGGAAAGCGAGAGGGAAGATGTAACATAGATGTCAAAAACATTCATATATTATTGAGAGCTTATTAAGTAGTGAGCTTATTTATATGAGTTTGTTAATCTTAATCTTAATTTCCTTCTCCATCCAGCGGTTGCCACATTTTACAACTTTTTATCATATACATATTATAATTAGTTTTAGTTTCTTTGTGTAACTGTTCCTAGATCATAAAACTAAAGTATACAAACTGTTCTATTGTTAAGTTTTTTTGTCTTTTACAATAAAGAGTTATCCATATATCTATCTAAACAGTTCCTCACGTGGAATAGGTAGACTTTTATTGTACGGGTTATAGGTGCACGCATCCATTGTAGGTACCTAACACTAAGCGATTATCATCTATACTAATATTATAAAGCTGAAGAGTTTGTTTGTTTGTTTGTTTGTTTGTTTGTTTGAACGCGCTAATCTCAGGAACTACTGGTCCGATTTGAAAAATTCTTTCAGTGTTAGATAGCCCATTTATCGAGGAAGGCTATAGGCTATATATCATCACGCTAAGACCAATAGGAGCGGAGTACCAATGAAGAATGTTTTAAAAACGGAGAAAATTTATTACTATTGAGAGACGCAGACGAAGTTGCGCGGGTCAGCTAGTTAAGTATATAATGTTGTTAACTAAAACGCCTGGCTATAATTTTTTTCTACTCACACACACACGACAAAAAAAAGTACCAACATGGTACCTACCATTGTTTTCATTTGTATTTCATTTAAACTGTGACAATGTATTTTGCCAGGTCTGTATTTCTTATGTGCCTAGTACGTACTGCACAGTATGGGCATGTTGTATTAGCCTGTAACTGATGAATATGCCTATATTGGCTAACACAATACAATAAATCTATGCAGTGTATTGCTAACCGCAATCGTCGAGAACGTATATTATTTTTAAAAGGCGCTTGAACTACGATGATGATTCTAATAAGATATAATTTAGGGGTTTTTTTTACTATTATACAGACTAGATTTTTTTAGACAACCGAGTCAACATTGAAATAGGAAAACATTTTTTTTGTAAACATTCTTATTTAAACTTTTATTAAAACGTACGCGTGAAATGAAACGTTTAACGACTTTTCCAGGGATGTTGCAATGTTATAAATTATAATTCCTAAAAATTGAAGAATTCCATTATTTACATTTTTGCACTACTGAATTAGTATAATATAATACTATTGCCTATTATCTGTCTATACTGATAATAGACAATACAAATATTAAAGTGTGCTCACTGAATCACTATCTTCCAATTTCTTGAGTTTCCTTAGAGTTTATAATTTCTACCTTGTTCTTTTTAGGATCAACTTAGATGAACCGACAATCAACTTCTTAACTCGTTTATACAACCCAAGATTAAAAAATATTTGTAATATAATTAGTATCATTGAAAGACATAAATTTTACTTGTTTGAATTTTATTTAAAGCTTTGGTATAACGACAGAATTATTATCTACAGTAGTTGACAAAACGTCAAAGGCAATCTTCACTGATTTTCTTATTGTTAAAAGAGTACCAGGGATGTTAGACGTACCAACTTTTTGATAAACGTACAATTTTTCAGGGTCTTGTATCATGTAATAACTAAATATTGTGTTAGTAATATATTTAATAATAATAGCAATTTTCTACATAAAATACAATTTCTTGTATCAATTGAATCTATTGAATAAATAAGTTCTTGCTGTTTTACTGTTCATAACGATGTTTATAGTATTATTAATTAACATAAAAATGTTAATAATGAGAACAATTATTAATAGTTTTAATATTAAAAATTACCATTATTGTTATTTTTTTTCAGGTATGTTTTCAAAATTAATATAACATTATTGTAAGTGTACCAACTTTTTTTCCAAATACCAGCTTTTAGAGCCTTTTAACGACATCTGTACCAGCTTTGGCTCACCACAATCTAACATTCCTGAAGAGTGCCACTCATTCATAGTGCTTTTGAATTAGATACTAGCAACACTCAATCGTCCATTTATTGTGAAGTGTGCTGAAGTTGAGAGTAGGTATTATTTATTTTGAACGGGCATTCCTTCAAAAGTATGGCGTAGATGTAATATTGCACACTGCTTTGTGAAATCCTGTTTGCTATCTCCTTTAAGTATCCTTTGTGCTCGAAATGTCGGGCTCCAGTTCTGTGGAAGACCTTCCTGACCAGTGCAAAGTAAGTTTTAATATTCTTTGTCTGTTTAAAATTTGACCTTTGCTCGTGTAGTATAACATATTATTAGTAAACAAAACAGTATTTACATGTTTTAATTCAAGGACGAACATTAATATTGCGTCATAACTGTGTATTTCGCTACGGAAACTGATGCAGTGATATGCTCAATTTAGGCGCATTAACTACGCTCCAAACAATCGACCTATACATATTCAGACTACCTACTTTTATTATTTAAAAAGGACAATTTATAGAAAATCTAGTGATAATATTTAAGGTAATGTAATGTAATATGTAATTTAATGTAAAATTAATATATAAATATAAGAAATTTTATGTGCAGCCATCAAATTCTAATTGGATTATGAAGGTAGAAAAAATATATTATTAGTAGATTAGTTGGAAAATCTTCTGCTTCTTATTCTTAGTTGTCATTGATATTTTTTTTGATGTATTTTATTACACTGCATTGTCACACATATATAGAAGAATATTTTATTATAATTATTATTTATTACAATAAATTTATTTGTTTTTAGAAACTGCTTAAAACTGTCACCTTTGCTTTTTCCTATTCTGTTTTAAAATCTTTTCAAACTTATCAGTGTTTTATTTAATTTTTTAATTATTACCTGATACTAGAATAGATCATAGTAGTACAGTCTTATTATGGCCTTGCCTAGTGTTGACATTACTGTCAATTATTCAACATTCTAACTTATTTATTTGAAAAATAATTACTACCTTACCTAAAAAAAAAATGCTCCCCATACTCCTTTGTGTCCAAAGGATTATGGGGAGCAGATATTACACTATGAGCTCTTTCATATGTCCGTAAGAGCATTGTATCTTGTGTTCAATTCTAACTATTAATTTAATGTTAAACAGCTAGTTTCAATATGAATTCATGAGTAAAATTAGAAAAATGAATTGTGGGTAGTTTTTATAAATAATGAGAATTAATAAAAATTATTTTTTTCCCGAGACCAGAGATAAAACTAATACCCCCAAACAAAAAAAAGGTTTTTGGAAAACATCATTTCTTGCTTTTGTACACTTTTCACAATCGTGAATCAGTAAACAGACCTAAATGTGACCTGTAAATGTGACTAGCCTGTTGATCTAGTGGTTAGGTGGATGTATGATATTGATTGCCACCAAGGATAAATAATTTTGTGATGACCACAATCATTTGTTTTGTGTCTGGGTGTAATTTGTCTATAATTTGTATGTATTTAGAAATATATAAGTATGTTTTTCAGAAGTCTTGTTACCGTAGTACAGGTTCTGCGTAGTTTGGGATCAGACGGCAGTGTGTGAGGATATTATTCTATTAAAAATCGTCACTATGCACAATCCTCAATCAATTAATCTCATATTTACTTGTGATAATGTAAATACCAACCCTCCAAAATTGCTTAAACACCTAAGTAACTTAATAGGTAAAATAAAAAAAAATGTTGTCATGTTATGCTGATGCTAATACATTATTGATAGTTGTTCTATAACAAAATTGATTTGATTATTGTACAGAAGATAGGTCTGTTTTATAGTAAGCAAGGAGCACATTAATCTCAGACAATAATCATCTGCTAAAGTTGTGGATATCAGCTGATCAAAAGGTGTCCATGGTGGGTTGAACATGCTGCAACCCAGCTACTAAAAATGCAGTATAAGTCAAGAAATAAAATAGTACCTACAATTTTTTATCTTTCTGGTACAAAAAGTTACAAACCCGTACAGCTATACCCATAACCATGGCCTTATTTGGCAGCATGTACGTCAACGAAACACACTTAAAATACGAGGTGATTCAAAATACACAAATAATTTTGGAGGTAGTTTGACATTTGTTTTGAAGATTGACAGTCACACAATACTTATGCAGTTTCACTTTATTTCATCATACCTACCACTGGCAGAGTTATGGCTTCAGTGTTCTAGAATAGTGAAGGAACCTTTTTTATTGATTTCATGCCCATAGGACATAATACTACTGTACCCTTTTATGAATTTTTCGAGTGGCAAGAAAATGAATTTTGATTAAGTAGGATAATTGGTAGGTTGTAGGCGGAGGAGGATGAGGAATAAGAAAGTTAGAGAAGCAATGAATGCATTGAATTAGAGAAAGGTGTAGAGAAATATAATATTTTTGTTTGAAATTTTTTAAAATTTTTATAGTAATTTCAACAACTTTTTGTTTTCCCCCTTGTAGTTTTTCAACATTGTAAGAATGCTTTTACTCATGCCCTTTGTATTTAGTATATAATCCCAATAGAGAATTTGACTCAGATACTAAAATTCCCTATTGGATTGATTGCAAAATAGGTATTTAAATTCCCTAATCGGAATTTACCAGCTGCACATCTAGTGATTATACACTTTGGTGACACTGCGTTTACTAATAATTTTGTTTAAAACATATTACTTTAATGCTTTAAATTTTGCACATACTAAGTTGACTTTGCAAAACATTATTTGATGAGCTCTACCATTCTTAGTTGCATAGTGTATAATATTTACGCAATAAATACTATTGTTAAGTAGATAAATTGTAATATTTATTTTAGTCACTGCTGTGTTATTGAATGAAAATGTGTAGAAATTTTTAATCTAGTCTTTAGATTTGTAGCAAATAATTGTACAGCTGTCTAAATAAATATCTAGCGGTTATGAAACTGGTGTTATAATAAAAGCATAGTAATACAATTAATAGTCTATATGCATATATTTAAATAACTATCAAGGTTCAATCATTTTACTAACTTTAATTGTGTAAAGAAATATAAAAATTAAATTATTTAATAACAGTTCGCTGTGGTTACAAGGCCAAAAACAATTCAACGCATACATAAATTCAATACATTCTTGTCATAGACTATAAATTCTAGGAATTCTCTCTCTCTAGCCATTTTTAACCACTGAGGTGTAAGCCTCCTTCAGTTTATGCCATCTTTTCCGGTCTTGGGCAGTTTCCATCCACTTTGTCCCTGCCAATCTTTGGACTTCTATTGGCTTGGATTTGGATTCTAGAAGTTGAGAAGAATAAATAGACGAAATAATGATAAGCATTCCCTTTTTTACTCGCTATGAGAACTCTTTCCAGACAGGGTTTCAGATCTTAAAAAGTGTTTTAGAGGAGACCCATAGTAACAGAGACTTAGTAATATATGATTCTAAATTTGCCAGCTTTAAATAGCGCTCTACTCTCTATTCTCTCTACTCTAATGGCTGTTATGTTAGAACAGGTCCACTCGATGATTGTTCACTGAGTTTAGCTCACCACAGGCAAAGTTAGTTTAGTTTATATATGACATACTTCTCCCCTTTTGAAGTCAAGGACCACAAGCCAAATGACATACCTGGTCAATAGTACAGAGAACCTACCTGTGATCTTAAAGACAACTCCTGCACTAGGGACATATCCTGTGTCGCGGGGGACTTTACAGACATTCATGAAACTGAAACAAAAACACCCAGACTCAGAATAACAGTTTGTGGATCACACAGTGTTGTCCCATGTGGGGATCACACCCAGAACACTCAGTAGGAACAGTACCGTCTTTACCATAAGGGCACACGGGGCCCGTGCCCAGGGCCTCCATCGTCAAGGGGCCTCCAAAAAGCAAATACGTAGCACGTTAAATATTCGCTTACCTCATTTTTTTTTCAAATTCATATCGATATTATCCGAAAGAAAGTAAATGGGCCTTTTTAGCAACTTTATGGCAACTCTAAGCACTGACAAGCCAATGATCAGTAACGGCCTTAGCCATTGCGAGGCCCCGGGCCCCGGGAATTAGTTTTAATGATCATACATTAAACAAAAAAATTGCATCGCAACACATACTGCTGCTCGCACATAAAAGCATATGCCGACGACAGTTTCAACAATGTTACAGGCGAAATTAAACACGGGGAATCCCTGAACGTAAATCGTAAACACCTTAACATTTAAGTACCACGCAAAAGAGCGCGAGAAGCGTGACGTGAGTTTTAGAATGCGATGCGTAAAGCGCAAAATTCAAATAAACATATTTTTCTACTGGGGTCGCGAGTGCGCGAAGCCCCTGCATGCGTGAGGCCCCTGCATTAGCGAGGCCCCGGGGTCTGCGCCCCCAAAGGCCGCCTCTGCCAAGGATATTACCAAATGTGTCAGAAAATGTGGCATTGCCATAACGTATCCGTAAAAACGCGTCCAATAAGCGTGGCGCTGCGGTAGCCAAGGATAAATTTGAAAAAACGCGCCAAAGTAATTAGAATAAGATGGACTAATAAAATCACGTAAATAGTTGAGGTTTTCTATACTAGCATTTTACTAACTACTCTAGTCATTATTTTTTTTTAATATTTGAACTCGGTAAAGTCAATAAAGTTATAGTAACAGAAAACAAAATTTGAATATTTAAACACCAAAAATAGTTAAATCAATGATAAATGTATTTTTAAATTATTAACGTATATAAAATAAAGGCCATTATTTTTTCAAAACAAAAATTGTGACTGCCGAAACTTCTACACGTTTGCCAGATTCAAGCGGTAAAACAAAAACTAGATATTGACGAATGGCGAGTCGTTAGAAAGAAAATGGCTCCTTTATTCACCTTTGAGAAAATCTGTGTACTGTTACTGCTGCCGTCTATTTAATACTAGTACAGGTACTGGATGTACTTTGAGTTCTCCAAATGGATATTAAGATTGAAGCATATATGTAACTTATTAATTGAGCATGAGAATAGTTTACAGCACAGGCAATTAATGATGAATTATGTCGCAAGAAGCAAACCTGCTGGACGATTTGACAGTGAGTTACTATCTCAAAATAATACAGAAGTCAATTACTGGAAGAATGTACTTAGAAGAATAGTTGCAGTAGTGAAATTTTTGGCTTCCAGAGGTCTTGCTTTTCGTGGTGATAATGAGATTTTGGGGTCTCAAAACAATGGAAATTATTTAGGATGCTTAGAACCGATTGGTGAATTTGATTCTTTTCATGCTGATCATATGCGGAACTGCGGAAATCGTGGAAAAGGAAGTACATCATATTTGTCTGCAAATATTTGTAATGAATTTATCTATATAATGGGACAGCAAGTTTTAAAAACAATTGTAAGTGAAATAAAATCAGCAAAATACTACCCTATAAGCGTGGATTCTACGCCAGATCTCTCTCACGTTGACCAACTAACTTTCATCGTTAGATACGTAAAAGATGGAGAGCCTATTGAGAGTTTTCTACAGTTCTTGCCTATAGATAAACATAATGCAGAATACTTAACAGGTAACATTTTGAACTTTTTGGAAAGCCTAGATATTCCTATAAAAGATTGTCATGGACAGAGTTATGATAATGCATCAAATTTAGCTGGAAAGTATTCTGGTGTTCAGTCAAAAATAAAAGAAAAATGCAAATTTGCCATTTTTGGCTCATGTGCAGCACACTCGCTAAATTTAGTAGGTGTTCAAGCTATTGATTGTGTTTCCGAAGCTGCAGCATATTTTCAGTTTATACAAAAATTGATCAATTTCTTCTCCGCTTCGACCAAACGATGGAAAATTATGGTAGAGCATTTAGGTACAAATAAAGTCTTGAAGTCTGTGCCGGATACTAGATGGTCTGCACGTGCAAATGCCATTAATGCTTTACAAATAAATATTTAAATATTTCTGAAGCTTTTTCCTCGATAGTAAGTGATGTCAATCAACCAGGAGGAACAAGAAACGTCGCGGCGGTAAGACCCGTTATGGAGGATTGGCTCGAGAGGCGTCACGGGACCCTCTCATACCGATTGACGCAGGTGATCACTGGGAAGGGATGTTTCGGAGATCACCTGTGTCTGATCCGCAAGGAGCCAACGCCTGAGTGCCACCACCTGCGATGACCAGACCGTGGACACGGCTCTCCACATGCTGGCAGAGTGCCCGGCGTGGGTTGAGCAGAGGCGAGACCTCGTGGCGGCCATCGGAGTGGGAGTTCTCTCGCTCGATAGCCTGATTGCGGCTATCGTGCGGAGCGAGAGTGCGTGGAACTCTGCCGTCTCCTTCTGCGAGCAAGTTATGCTCGCGAAGGAGACGGCGGAGCGGGACCGGGAGAGGTTTAGAACTCTCCCGGCCCGCCAGGCCCGGGAACGGGCCAGGTACCGCAGGCGACTCAGGCGCCGGAGGTCGCAGAACGACCTCCGTCCTCCATAAGCGCAGGCCTGGGGGGACAGGTGAGGCCATCTGTCACCCTAGCAGAAGCAGGCCGGCCGCTTCCAGGGAGCACAGGGAACATGGGGTTCCCACACGGGGGGGGGGTCGTCTACCGGTGGTGGTAGGTGGTATCCGAGGGGATTTCCGCACGGAAAAAAAAAAGGAGGAACAAGAAACGAAGCGCAAAGCCTAGTAAAAAAAATGGAAAAATTGAACACAATACTTTTAACGAAAATATGTAACGATTTTTTAGGAATTATGAACAAAACAAGTTTAAGCTTACAGGATAGCACTATTACCATGGACGTTGCCACAAAGCTTTACGCATCTCTCATCAAGTACGTCAATAACGCACGCAATAATTTTGATGAACATGAATTAGCTGCTAAAGAAAAAAAAACAAATGCTGACTATAAAGATAAATTTGACAGGAATAGAATTCGCAGCACACGCGTTACTTTCTATGAAGGATCATCAGAGCAGTCTCTGATGATCCTTCATAGAAGCAGTTGCAGTTGCATGGGAAGGAAAAATTTCGTATAGATCCATTTATCCCTATAATAGATACATTATATGCACATTTAAAAAATCGTTTGGTAGCGTATCAAGAAATGCACGATCGTTTTAATTTTCTTTCACAATTAACAAAAAAATGCAATGAATTTAAAGAACTCTATCACGAAGACATTAATGCATATGAGCTCAAATCAGAGTGTTTTCATTTAAGACAGTATTTAAAGAATATATCAAAGGAATCAGCTGATTTGAGTATCTCAAACTTACATAATTTAATAAAGTCCGACAGATTAGAAGAAACTTTTCCAAATGTTGAAGTGGCTACAAGAATGTTTCTATGCCTAATGGTTACCAATTGCAGCGGAGAGCGCTCATTTTCAAAGTTAAAGCGAATAAAAAATGAATTACGAACATCAGCGTCACAAGAGCGACTAACGTATTTATCAATTATGTGTATAGAAAATGATATCCTCAAAAAAATTGACTTTGAAGATATAATAGAAGAATTTGCACTACAGAAATCCCGAAAAAAATCACTGTCGTACTTGTACCTAACTGATTCAAAGATGCTTGTCTAATTAACATCCCATATTTATATCTATTATACTTATACTATACTATAATATCTCTAATTATAGGTTTATAATTATATTGATAATTATATTGATTGTTGCCAATAAATCATTTTAAGTAAAAGATCATAACTAAAAATATATAATCATCATAATCATCATTCATTTTGTTAACTGTCCAACAGGGCCCCTAATTCTTGTGTGCCCAGGGGCCTCGGCATGGCCTAAGACGGCCTTGAGTAGGAAGCGATGAGGTGACCGCTTAAACTACTACCCCATCCGTGCAGTCCAAAATTCAGTGAACTATAATTAGGGAAATTGAAACTAATAACGGAGAATGACTTTGAAACAATAAAATTTCTCAAATGCATGAGGAAAGTAACGAGTTATTCACAATTCACACACGTGTAAACATATAATAACATACTTACCAGAATAACACCCACATGTAGACCTGACCAGGTATTTCCTAAGCCGTGTGCACATGCACCAAGTCACAATTACCTTCCAAATTTAAGTTTAAACTTAATTTTAGGACCTGTTCACTCAAGATGGCGTTTTACTCAAGGCGTGCCTCGGGAGACCAATCACTGACCTCAACAGCATCGGTATGCTTTGCATCGTTGAGAACCACGACAATAGCAAGAGTATTGAATGGAGACCAAACGATCTGATCACCATAGACTCCGACACTCAAGACCAGGAGTGGGCCGTCGTTAACACTATTGGTATATCCATGTCTTACGCTAAAGGTATTTGTGATGATGATTTAATGCTTGGGGTTGCAGGGTACAGCACAGTCATCTTCACAGTGATAAGTATTGTTTTCGCTTTTGTTTGTTTAATATGTATGGATACATTTTCAGGAAGTATATAGGCATTGCCGTTAGTGAGATGTGTGAATTTATTATTATTGCCTTAAGCAACGCGACCATGGCGTACATGGGTAAGGCGTTGGAGTTACGATCGAGTAGTCGTGTGTTTGAGCCCCAGCAGTACCCTAGCGATGTAAACTGTGCCTAATGTTAGCATATCTTACAAGAATACTAGAAAAGTAAGACCTACGTAATTTAGAATCATCACATCACATCAACAGCCTTTAATAGTACACTGCTGGACATAGGCCTCTCTTTAGGAAAGAGGTTAATTAATTAATTATTATAGGTTATTATTGAATGATAAGGATTAATTAAAAAAAAAGAATCACTACATTGCGCCTTCATCACGATGTATTGCAATTAACTGAATTGTTAATTCTTTAAAAATGAAAACAAAATGAAATGAAATTTGAATTGAACGTTTGGTAAACGGGCAGTAGGTAAAACCTTTCAAATGAAAATAATTTTCCAAATCGATTCATGAATGATGGAGTTTTGAGGTAACAAACATAAAATAAAAACATACAACAATTGCGAACCTTTTCCTTTTTCATGAAGTCAATTGAATGGCGCCCTTTATAACTTAAATAAATTGTTTCTTTAATTTTGTCTACGTCATTTGCCTAGTTTTTTAAAGTATCTGCTTGTATTGTCCACGACATCCACTTTTACACGTCATCTGTTACACTTAGTAAATTTTCATCATCATGATCATCAACAGCCTTTAATAGTCCACGCTGGACATAGCCTCTCCTTAGAATGGAGGTTTTGGCCTACTATACCACGCTGGCCAGTTGGGTTGATTTTGATGAAGTTTTCCTTCTCTTTGTAGTGCTAGTGTCCTGCTTAGTTTTCTTGCTTAGTCGGCTCGCTTAGTCGGCTCATACAACACCCACGGGATAAATAGGGGTGGTGACACTCCGTATTCTTAATCCGTCACCACACGGATACAGTAAATGTTCATTGATCCCAATTATAAATTCACATTCTCGTTCATTCACAGAAACATTATCGGTCAACTGTTATCTGCTGTACCGATAACATTGTAGTGATAAGTGGAGTTCCCAACGCGGAGTTGTCTTAAAACACTCAAAAGCGAATGATCTTACTGACAGATTTCGTAGCTGAAATAAATTTTTATATCACCATTTAAAAATGAAGTCATCATCATTAGCTCAAACGCGAAATGTCGGCTCTATTAGTGATACACCCCAGTGATTCTTTCGTTGTATTTCAACCAGTGATGTTACCAAAAGCTTTAATAAATTCATTCTCATTCTATTTGTAAATAAATAAATTTTACCCAGTCACGTTATTGAAATTTTAAGCATGCAGTAACAACATAAACTGTGAATGTCGTGTTTAACGATCATGAATAAATAAAAACACATACCATTTTTAAGAAATTCCAAGCTTTTGAATGGTGAGTTTTCCACCAAAATCAAATCAAGCAAACAATCAAACAAAATTCAAATGTACATTATATTCGGTCAAATTAGACAATATTAGACAGCTTTAGTATCATCATCTATCGTCCTCCATTGCTGAACGAAAGCCTCCTCAATGAGTGCCAACTATCCCGGTTGAGGGCAGTCCGGATCCTGCTAGTCACTTTCTTTAAGTCGTCGGTCCATCGTGCCGTAGGGCGCCGTTCACTAGATTTGCCTAATTGCAATCTGCACACACTAGCACATTTCAGTTCCAGCGACCTTCAATCCGTACCTAGTCACTAGCCATTAAGTGTCCCAGTCTGCTCGTTTGCACACTATGTCAAAATATATCATCATCAGCCTATCGCAGTCCACTGCTGGACATAGGCCTCTCCCATTGCACGCCACTTAGATCGATTTTGGGCTTCTCGCATCCAGCTCCTGCCAGCCATCTTGCGCAAATCGTCACTCCACCTGGCCTGTGGGCGTCCTACACTACGTTTGCCGAGACGCGGTCTCCACTCAAGAACTCGTTTTCCCCAACGGTTATCGGTTCTGCGGCTAATATGGCCAGCCCACTGCCACTTCAACTTGCTGATCCGGTACGCTATGTCGGTGACCTTAGTTCTCTGCCGGATCACCTCATTTCTGATGCGATCCCTTAGAGAAACGCCGAGCATAGCCCTTTCCATAGCACGTTGAGCGACTTTGAACTTGTGGACCAGCCGTACCGTAAGTGTCCACGTTTCAGCTCCGTATGTCATGACGGGTAGGACGCACTCATTAAAGACTTTCGTCTTAAGGCACTGTGGGATCGCCAATGAGAAGACTCGACGTAGCTTCCCAAACGCTGCCCAACCCAACCGAATTCTTCTGTTCACCTCGTCCTCGAAGTTGTTTCTACCTAACTGCAATGTCTGCCCGAGGTACACATAATTTTGAACAACTTCGAGAACGGCACCGTGTACCGCAATCGGTTCCGGTAGTACATGTTCGTTGAACATGACCTTGGTTTTATCCAAGTTCATCCGTAGGCCGATGCGTACAGAAGTGTCAGCTAAGTCATTCAGCATTTGCTGTAGGTCCTGCAACGTCTCTGCCATGATGACGATGTCATCTGCAAATCGCAAGTGAGAGATGTATTCGCCATTAATATTGATGCCACGCCCTTTCCAGTGCAGCGTCTTGAACATGTCCTCCATTGCATTTGTGAACAATTTCGGGGAAATAACGTCCCCTTGTCTCACTCCTCGATGCAATGGTACGGGCCTTGTTTGCTGATTCTGTACTTGGACGGACATGGTGGCGGCTTCGTAGAGACATCTCATCACTTTGATGTATCGCCAATCTACTTGGCAACGCTGCAGGGACTCCAGAACAGACCAGATCTCGATCGAGTCAAAGGCTTTCTCATAGTCCACGAATGCTAGACACAGGGGCTGATTATATTCTTCGGTCTTCTGTATAATCTGCCGCACTGTGTGGATGTGGTCTATGGTGCCATATCCGCTCCGAAACCCAGCTTGCTCCGGTGGTTGGAATTCGTCGAGTCTTCGCGCAAGACGGTTCGTGATGACTCTCGAAAACAGCTTGTAGACGTGGCTTAGAAGGGATATGGGTCGATAGTTCTTCAACCTGGTCTTGTCACCCTTTTTGAAGAACAAGACGACCACACTCCTACTCCACGCTTCTGGAGTTCTCCCTTCAAACAGGACAGCGTTGAAGAGCTTTTGGAGCTCCCTTAGTACGGGTTTACCCCCGGCCTTCAGCAGCTCTGTTGTAACGCCATCCTCTCCAGGGGCTTTTCCATTTTTCAGCTGTCCAAGAGCCATCTCGATTTCGTCAATGCTAACTTCTGGCAGGTCTTCGGTGTAGTGACGTGTTAATGTGGCTCTAGAGTCCTCATTTTCGGGATCAGGTCGAGATGCATGCGAAGCGTATAACCGGCCATAGAAGCTTTCCACTTCCAAAAGGACTGCCGGCTTCGAAGCAACGACTTCTCCACTTTCTGTAGTCAACTTTGTCAGGTGGCTTCTTCCAAGAGATTGTACGAACACTTTTGACCCACGATTTTGCTCGATCGCTCTTTCAATTGAAAGAGTATTGGAGCACCGGAGGTCGTGTCGTACGAGTTTACTGATCTCTCGGTTTAGAGTCCGCTTTGCCGACAAAGTGACAGGTGGGTTTTCACGTCGTTTCTTCATCAGCCCTAGGGTCCTTTCTGAAAGCTTCGACTTCCTGCCCTACGCTGCATTTCACAAAATCTCATACCTTCTTCCCTGAGGATCTGAACCACATTTTTGAGGTTCTGGTTTACGTCGATTGTGGTTTCCACGGCAGCGAATCGGTTTTCCAGTTTTGACTGGAACGTTTCAGATCCTGTCATGGCTTGGAGCCGAGTTGGTCGGAGCCTGGATTTCATCAAACAGACACGTTCCGCCTTAAAGTTGATATTCAGAGAGCCCCGGACAAGTCGGTGATCACTACCGGTATTAAAACCTATTGATCACTGAGACGTCTCTGAATATGTGCTTTCTATCCGTCATGATGAAATCGATCTCATTTCTGGTCATAGCGTCGGGGCTTTGCCACGTCCACTTCCTTTGGGGCTGTTTCTTGAAGAAAGAATTCATCAAAAACAGCCCCTCCCGTTCGAGGAAGTTGACCAGCATTTGCCCCCTATGATTCCTGCTTCCAAATCCATGGGATCCTACTACCGATTCGCCGCAATTCTGTACTCCCACTTTAGCGTTGAAGTCACCCATAACAACGTTGTAGTGGGTCTTAGTTGTGAAGTGGAGGGCCCTCGATATGTCATCGTACATATCCTCCACCTCGTCGTCCGAATGTGCCGAGGTCGGTGCGTACACTTGCACAACCTTGAGGCTATACCTCTCGGTGAGCTTGATAATGAGGTACGCTACCCTGTTCGACACACTGGAAATTTCCACAACGTTGTCAGATAGGGACTTATTTACCAGAAACCCAACCCCACCTTGGGATTGTTGGTCTCCCTCGCGGAAGTACATTAGGTGGCCTGACTCGAGGGTTATGGTGTCCTCCCCCTCTCTTCGGACTTCACATAGCCCTAGGATATGCCACCTAATCTTCCCAAGTTCCACCTCAAGTTGCGCCAGATGCGAGTCTAGCCGTAGCGTGCGTCCGTTGTACGTAGCCAGGGTCAGTCGGTTGTGGTGGCCTCCCGTAGCCCGGAGATTCTTCGCACCCCCTGCCCCGCCTTTACCGAGGTCGCCACCATGACCAGGAATAGCGGGGCCGCCGGGAACTGGGGGCCGTGGCCTTTGTTGCGTCTGCATGGGAGGGGTTTGCCCATAATCGCCACGCTGGGCAGGCGGGTTGGCGATCGCAGGGCGTAGCTTGTCGCACCGGTAACGCTGCTGCCCGTCACCGGCCTGTTGTATTTAGCTACGCCTATTGGGATGGATATACCGCCATCGGTCGGTCGCCAGAGCCTCGTTCGTCGTTCAGCAGGATGCACCGCGGGCAGGTGAGGTTGGCTTGGGGCGAAAGATGGTGGTTCGCCCCTCACACCCCAATATATACTTTATCCTTATTCATTTATTCTTTTTTTGATTACCTGACGCTTTGATCGGATTGTACTGATCGTGGGTCACCGGTAAACTGTTGAAAGGTTTGACGCACCTCCGTGAGGTGCGAATTTCACCAAGATCCTGCACTTGGCCTTCATTATTTTTATTTCTCTTCGTAATTTTCACTACATTTACAAGGTTTTTTTTTAAGTGATTTTGAGTAGTTTTTTTACTAACGGTATCTTATCTCATATTTTTTTTAAATCAAATTGCTTTACTTACAATTCTGGACTAAAAGTGACGGTTGGTGTAAGACAAATATTATTAAAATGCGGGCAAGTTAATTTAATTTTTTAATTTCTTTATCAGGTCGTCGCCAAAGAACTTTCAGCGGCAACATCACAGCAGACTATGCCACAGCTCGTGCCCGCATCATCAGAATTCCCCTTGAGGAGTTAAAGACCTTTAGAGTAACACGCAACAACCAGCAAATGCAGTTTTCCACAAAACCAGGAGTTTGGCAGACCACATTCTACTTCCAACATGGGAACGCTGAAATTTTCGTAGCCTCTTTAAAGAATCATGTGAAAACGGCTAAAACCAGACATGACAGGAACACGTATGTGGTCGTAGAACCTAATACAGAATCCCAAGTGCTGAATAAGTCTTTTGCTGAACTGGACATCTTTACAGAGAACACTACAGACGTAGTGTGGAACTTGGTGTCTAATTTTAAACAGAGGCCGTATGAGACGACTATGGAGGCGTTTTCCAAATTAACTGATATTGGTAAGGAGTGTATTACGAACTAACTTATTCCTTCATAAAAAGTAGCATAATTATCTGTTATTCCAAACTATACTCAAACTCTGTGTCCAATATAATCCTGATCCCTTTAGGTGTTCTACCGTCATTGGGTAACAAACATTAATTCTTCTTGCCTCACAAACTTTCGCGTTTACAATGGGCTTTGGCAAACTATATATAATACGACTTGTCTGATAATACACGACTAAAATCCTCATCCTAACTAATATTATTACGAGGGTGCGTTTTTAAGTTCGCGGAATGAGAGGGTTGGAGGCGGGTGATTAGGCTCATTAGAATCGTCACGTGTTCAGTGACTCATAATTAGTATAAATACCAGGTTTAATTGTTATTAGACAATTAGTCTTTGAGTTATCGTCAACCAAGCAACATAATCGGGAGTGAAAAGTGCGAAAAGCGAAAATCAGTTGCGACCATAATGAATGAGATGTCATTGGTTTACGGCGACTCTTGTCCAGGAAAAACCATGGTGTACAAATGGCACAGTTTATTTAAACAAGGAAGGGAATCCCTTGAAGACGACCATCGAGGAGCAGGAGCATCGAAGTGATCACGCCAGAACTTATCCAAAAAGTCTGGCTGTACGGGGAGGCTAAAAGGATGGTAACGCGCTTATGACTTGTGCCTGATGATATGACATTTAGGTACCTGATGTTATTTAACTCAAGACAAGGAGTTATATACCATCAGGTAAACAGACTGCTCGTTTGCACCCATATGCCATAAAAAAAGCTACACAATTGATCGCTTTCAAATTTAACATAAATTACGCTAATAATAATATTGAAGATGTTATGTACCTTCTCGGAAAAATGTTCAAAAGGAATCATCATCAACAGTCTTTAACAGTCCATTGCTGGACATAAGCCTTTGGCCTTCTATACCACGCTGACCAGACGGGCTGGTATAGGGTTTGAGCCAAGTTTTCCTTCTCTCTGCAGTGCTGTTCTTCTGCGTAGTTTTTTTTCTTAGTCGGCTAAAACGACAACCGCGGGATGAATTAGGGTTGGTGACACTCTGTATTCTTAATCCGTCACCACACGGATCCCAAGGAATAGGTAACTATATAGCTTTTATACAGAAAGTGCTGTTTCTGAAGGATAGTGAATTATTGCCAAAATCTACATCAAAGCTTGCGAAGTCACGGGCGTTTATTTCATATTAAATACTTCAAAAACTCTTTTTCTTAGATGGTCATATTTAAAGCGTATCTTTCTTTTCGTTTACTTAAGTGTCTTTTTATACAGATTTAGAATCGAACATTGTCTGAATGTAACTCTTGTCACATACGTCCTTTCACTTCCAGTGTACTATGGTAATGAAGGAGCGAGTGGGAAACGCGATGTGTCCGAAGAAGTAGCGGACCTTCTGACCAAAAGTATGAATGAAATAGACGAAGCCACGACAGTAACGACACTCACCAGACAGAGTGATGAGTACGAGGTCGTCACTGTCAACCCGATGCTACCACCGAGACCCGTTATACCCAGGTGAACTTACATACATTCTTTTACATTTACATCATCATGCCTTTAATAGTTCACTGCTGGACATAGGCCTCTTCTTAGAAAGGAGGTTTTGGCCTACTATACCATATGCTGGCCAAACGGGTTTGTGTCAAGTTTTCCTTCTCTCTGCAATGCTGTTCCTGCGTAGTTTGCTCCCTTAGTCAGCTCTTACAACACCCACGGGATGAATAGGGGTGGTGACACTCTGTATTCTTAATCCGTCACCATACGGACGTCACATTTACATATGAGTGACGAAAGTTCTCCTCTGCTTGTCAATTAAACTTTAACCCTTAAATGCTTCTTTAAAAATACTCCATGCACTAACACACTAGCTATAACCCGCTTCTGCGCTCGCATGATTATTTCTTACTTCGTGTATCTAACTATGAAAATGTGGAACTTCTGTACAATCGTTGATCCCTTATTTACCCCCCTTAGAATGAAATTTCCAGAACCTTTTTTAGTGTGGGTGCTTACAACATAAAAAGCATCAAGTGTAAAAATTTCAAGTTTGTTGCTCCAGCAGTTTAGGTTTCTAATAGTATTACTGTACTCTGTGGGTTTAGGGTCTGCTCTGTTCTGCGTTTATGAATCAGTTAGGCATTCAGGACAAGTAATTTTATATAGATTAATGGAGTATATGACTGCCAAGTCAAATTAGCATATTTTTATTATTTTATTTTTCAAAACGATAGACGCTGTACATTTTTGAATGAAATACTATAGCGTGACGTCATCCTAAATATTATCAAATCATTTGTTAATGTTGATTTGGAGAAATAAAACTTACAAAAAACATTAAATTAATATTGGAAGACAATTAAAGCATTCATTTTAAGATGTTAAATTTAATGATTCAGCCGAAATGATTTATTTAAAACCTATGAATCTACCCTATTGTTTATATTTTTATCATCTACCCTCGCTATAAAGATTCTTAAACGAACGTTACACACCGCATTCGTAGAATATTAAACTAGACCATGATCAGTCAGTCAGAAATTTCACATCAAGTCGCTCTCGACAGGATGCGCGTTTGGCGTTGCGATTGGTGAAGATTTCAGTGCGGGCCAATCGCAGCGCCGCATGCGGTCATCGTGACGATCGAGTAGAGGTGAAATAAACTCACACTTGGGCCTCTGACCTATCGTGAACATATCATCATCATCATCATCAACAGCCTTTAATAGTCCACTGCTGGACATAAGCCTCTCCTTAGAAAGGAGGTTTTGGCCTACTATACCACGCTGGCCAGACGAGTTGGTATAGGGTTGTGTCAGTTTTCCTTCTCTCTGCAGTGCTGTTGTCCTGCGTAGTTTTTTCCCTTAGTCGGCTCTTACGACACCCACGGGATGAATAGGGGTGGTGACACTCTGTATTCTTAATCCGTCACCACACGTGAACATATTGTGTGGTGATAAAAGATAAACTATTGGAATAAGCATTCATTGTTTCTTTATCAGTGAATCATTCAAGTGTGGATATGGTCTAGAGAGATTAATTTATTGTACACATACTGCACGGATGTCGTAGTGGCTTAAGCGGTCACTTCCTTCCTACTGGGATGAGTGTTGTGCGTTCGTCCCCACTTGTGACAACACTTTGTGTGATCCACAAATTCTTCTTCTCGTTCTAAGTGTTCTTTGTGTCCGTTTCATGTATGTTTGTAAAGTCCCCTGCTACCCAATATATATTCCTAGTGCGGGAGTTGTCTTAAAAAATAAAGTTTAGTTTACAAGTTCATGAAATACCTATTTGGTTTTCAGTAAATAATTAGTACATGATGTCTTTGCTGAATTGGATAGTCCTATATGGGCTGGCTCCATCAGAGTAATAAAACCAGTGTGTTAATCAATTCTTTCGTTCCTTTTCACTGTGTGAGTGAGGTTACAGCAAGCACAACCTCCCTCTCCCTCCCCTCTCTCTTTCTTCCCATCTATCTTCCCCACCCCCCCTCCCGACTTCAAGGGCCGCAACGTCTTGTCCTTGGTCCCCGACACCATAAATAATAACAGTGGTATTACACGACTGGTCTTCTTAGTGAGATTTCCACTTGAGGAGATATTACTGACGCGTGTCACTTAAATTATTCTCTTATGTTTCAGAGGTACACCGCTTTCAACGGAAAAGTGGGAGGGGCTACAGGATACAGAAGGCAGAGTTACAGAAGTGGATGGAGTTCGACAACTTATCTTCAGAGGTGTAAGTATTTTCTATTTATAAAGAGGGCTACAGGTCGGCTATAGACACAAATACTTTGCCGCCCTATGAGTGCCCAGTAGGGATGGCATAAATATATTTGCATGCTATTTAATGGCGAAATGTGTCATGTTCTCATTATTTAATCTACCTAACATATTTTGTACCACATTTCATTTTTTCCTTTTACACTTATATCAAATGATGGGTGAAAAGGGGTTGGAAGCATGGGAAATCAATAACCGATAAACTGATTCAACTAAAATTTTGTTTGAAGATATGAAGTTTGATTTCTGAGGAATGACATAGGCTTTTTATAGCGATAACTGACATACATGCGGGCGGAGCCCCGGGCAAAAGCTAGTAATTTCTATATACCAATGTCCTGTGGGGCCCTGAACCTCAATTCTGCTATTTTATGTTTACGCCTCAAAAAAACGTAATAAATTTTCAAATTATAAGGAAATAAGTTATTTATATTTCCAAATATGGCAATTTTTTTGATATCACCACTGATGAGCCATTGCGATTCCATGGCCACTGTGAAGACACTGAGTTAGTGTAGACTACCGATATTTATACCGATGCCAATGGCCACTCGATGGCATCTCAATAGCGTGTCAGTGGTATGACAGTGGCTTGGCGTAAACATAAAGTAGCAGAATTGAGGCCCTGGTATCACTCCAGTGGAGCCAGCCCATTTGTACCGAATCATGACTCCTATTGTGTTTAATAAGCAATTATAAAACGTAAAATGTCTTAATAAAATTAAAAAAAAAAACAAGGTAAAAAAATGCAGTTACAAATTTAAAAACAAAGCAAAGATAATTAGGCCGTTGTTTTGTGTACTGTATCTATTGAAAAAAAAAAGTTTTTTTGATAATAATTACAAAAAGGGTCTCTCCGGCGGGGAATCGAACCCCGGTCTCCCGCGTGACAGGCGGGGATACTGACCACTATACTACCGAAGACTTACTAGATCTTTGCGAAATCTACCTTCTCTAATAAGAGAGTCGGTTTAGAAGTTAAATATTGTGAATATTATAGTTGTTTGAAATTATATTCATGAATTTAGAATTTAAACACTTTTTTATTATTCTTTATAATATTCGAAGGTAAAAACCTTCGAATATTGAATGGGAGCACAATATAAAAACATGAAAGGTTCTAACTTAATACCAAGTATTTAAATAAACTGTCTTATTTATTTATTTAAATAAAGTATTCGCACATTTAAGTGACATAGTTACTTATAACTACCTCGGTGGTGCAGTGGTAGCGTATGCGACTGCTGTGGTTGGTCTCGGGTTCGATTCCCGTGTCTGACCAAATGTTTGTACAATCTGCAAATATTTGTTACAATGTTTTCTTTGCATATTATGTATGTATTTCCAAAAAAAGTTTATATTTGAGTATTCTATCAGTCAATCTGACTTTCATAGCACAAGCTCTGCTTAGTTTGAATCTAGATGGCGTTGTCAGTTGTCCTAAACAAAAAAAATATACTTTTTTAGTCTTTTATGACAAAATAATCATCATTAAATACTGAAAAACTAACTAAAAAAAACACGCATTTGTAACTAGCTGAACTAAAAACCATAAAGCAATTTTCTATACTTTAAAAACGGTGTTTATGAAAAAAAACATTTTGTAGTAAAACGTCGCAGCGTGGGGTCCTAGGTGTCACTTATTGTAAATATATTGGATTCCGTTACATTCTTTTTTAGAATTAACCACCTCGGTAGATACGATAAGAAAAGATTAGATCTATGTATGGGTGTTTCTATATATAATAAGTATGTATTTACACAAAAAAGAATATATGTATTTATATCAGTTGTCTAGTACCCATAGTACAAGCTCTGCTTAGTTTGGGACTAGATGGCGTTGTGTGAATGTGGTACAATATTATTAATTATTTAAGATAATAAATACTGACAATAAAAAGTGTATACATTCTTAATTCATGAATACAATTTCAAACAATCACTTGTTTATTTTCTAAATTGACTTGCTTTTTAGAGAAGCAAAATTTCGCCAAGGAATTACAAGTCTTCGGTAGTATAGTGGTCAGTATCCCCGCCTGTCACGCGGGAGACCGGGGTTCGATTCCCCGCCGGAGAGACTCTTTTTGGATTTTATTAAGGCGTTGGGTGGTTTTTAAGATATTTTATAATATAATGACTTTACTTGTACTAATATCTGTCTACAAGTATTTATAACAATTGACATCTAGCACCCTATGTTTTTTTTGCGATAAATTGTTTTTTTTTTAACTATTTATTGTTTGAACTTTGAAAACTGTTATCTACTTCTTAGTTTGGCTAGTTAAAAAAGCATGTTGTTTTAGTTTTTTTAACCAACTTTAAAAAGGAGGAGTTTATCAATTCGGATGTTTATATTTATATTTTTTATGTATGTTCGAGCCTAACTCTGTCATATATAGACGGATTATCAAAATTCTTCTTTTCTGTTCAACAGTTGTTTATTCCGAAATGGTTTCATTTCAATTTCTTATACATCTGATGACGACTTTCGGAGACATACAAAGGAACTCCTAAAAAAATATGCATATTAGACTCTACAGTGTAGTCATACGTTCCGTTTTGCCTACCAACGCTGCAACGATTCCCACGAATTTGTGTGATACTCACGATCGTTTGTTCTGTGTCAGGGTGTAATCTAATAAATAAATATAATTATATAATAAACGACACCGGCTGACTTTAATTTTTTTTTTAATATTTGATAGATATTATTCCTTCCTAAAAGTGCACTTTCCATCAGGGCCTCAATTCTGCTATTTTATGTTCACTGTCAGCCACTGTCATACCACTGACACGCTATTGAGATGCCATCGAGTGGCCATTGGCATCGGTATAAATATCGGTAGTTGAAAATATATTACGTTTTTTGAGGTAGTGATTTATTTATTTTTATTATAATAAATTATTATTACGTTTTTTGAGGAACTGTTTTTTTTTCTTTTCTTTTTTTTTTTTTATTTAATTTTTTTAATAATGTTCGAATTGAGGCCCAGGTGAACCGTCTGCTCTTCGCCCCCTTTAACATAAAATGAAATATGAAATAAGTCGTAAAGTATTTTTACCCTCCAAGCCGCAACCCTCCATTTTTTAAATAAGGCAGAACAACGAGTTCCGGTTCAACTAGTTTATCTATAATATGTATGTATTTAGAAATAATATAAATATTTTAATCAGCAGTCTAATTATTGTACAGGCTCTGTGTGATCAGACGGCCGTGTGTGAGATGTGTGAAATAGTTAATATTAATGACATATATTTGTGTACCGGCAGGGGATCGCACGCTCGATACGACATTTAGTTTGGAAGTACCTCTTAGACTACTACCCGTGGCACATGACGCATGCACAATTGAAAACGTTGCATAAGAAGAGAACAGAGGAGTATTTTACCATGAAGTTGCAATGGAGATCCATGACTGAAGCACAGGAATCGAGGTCAGTGGATCATGGTAGAACTTTTGGGTTTAAAGATTGATGAGCTTCGGTAGCTATTTTAAGAAGTGAACTGTTGTGTGAGTTTTACATTCAAACTTTAGTACAAAAGAAGTTCAAATTTTTTTTATCGCTTTCAGTTTTGTTATCCATCTGGGACAAGAATATAAAACAAAGAAATATTTCTTATAATAAATATTCTCACAGGGGAGAGTAACCAATATTGAACCGGCGCTTAAATTGAACCACTTCTGTATTTCTATTAAAATGTCACTATTCTTTTACACTAGCAATCTTGGTTTAGGTTAGCAATTTTAACTTCAATATTGGTTACTCTCCTTTACATGGTATTATTCAGAGGTTGACATTGTTTTTAAGATCAGATGTCTAGGTTGTTTATTATGTATCAGTTAGAACTATTTTCTTTGGTCTCAGCAGTTTCAGAGATGGGGAGGGGATAATTTTTTTAAAAAGTTATGGCGATCTGTGTGTGTTTCGGAGATGTGTGACTGGTTTGAAGCGACTCTTATCAAGGCTATTGTTATATCTTTAAAAATGTCAAACATTTTCTTCAAATATATTGTTCTCTGGGGGTCGTATATATATTATGTAGGTGGGTCAGTGGGTCTGTCTGGAACGTTCTATCGGATCCTCGGGATTACTCTAGTAATTTCGGTGACCTCTATATTAGCGGAGAGTGTTGACCGTACGACACAGTATTGTTTTACGAGACAGCGGATTAACATCGATGCGATATTCTAGTGCGATTATAGAGTTATTTAGTGACATTTCGTAAAAGTGTGTGTTTATAAATACATTGCTAATTTTGGTAATTAACAGCTTATAATAATTAATATGTTTCTTTTTACAGGTTTGCAGAATACAGAGAGCGCAAGAACCTTGTAGAGAAAGACGTGAACAGGACAGACAGGACACACCCATACTACGCCGGCGAGAACAACCCCAACTTATTGGTGTTACAAGACATACTCATGACGTACGTGATGTACAACTTCGACCTCGGCTACGTACAGGGCATGAGTGATATACTGGCGCCCTTGTTGCTCCTGATGGGGAATGAAGTCGACAGTTTCTGGTGTTTTGTTGGGTTTATGGATAAAATTGTAAGTACATTTTTTTTTATAGGACTTAATCCTCCCCCACGCCCACTACTGTAACTATTATACACCAGGATCAACAACAGTGACCAATGAACACACCGAATTATGACACTCAGAATGTCCTAGGAAAAATAAAACTAATAAAAAAAAAAAAAATCTACCACATACACACAACGCCATCTAGTCCCAAACTAAGCAGAGCTTGTACTATGGGTACTAGACAACTGATATAAATACATATATACTTTTTTTTTTGTAAATACATACATATTATACATAGAGACACCCAGACCAAATCAAACATCAAATGTTCATGCACACAAATGTTTGGGAAGTATTATGGACAGGATTGCCGTGTGCAAATTTCCATTTGGAACCCGCAACGAAATTAATCAGAAGTAAAATTAGAGGAGTTGGTTAATACTGTAGCCTAGGTGTATGCCTATTTTGCTTTATTTTTGCCTCCCTCTTTGCTAAGAAGGTTAGCTTTTACTTCTAATTACGCTTTCAGGACAATTTAACTCTTTCTGAGACTTTCAGGGGCGTATAACACGCCCACATTCTGTCTACTGCAATTTTAGTTCCACTTACGTAATAGAAGGCAGGACTATTGCCATCAACCGGACACCGGCGACTGCATAGGTGGCGTAGTGGTTTAAGCGGTCGCCTCGCCGCTTCCTACTGCGCTGAGTGTTGTGGGTTTGATCCCCGCATTGGACAACACGTGTTATACATACACAATTGGTTGTTCTTTTTTTAACGTATTAATTGTATATTCTCAAAGAAGAATTCACACTCAAAATAATTAAAAAAATACTTGTATACATAGTTTCACATGGTCAAACTCAAACTATAGCGCGATTTGAAAACACTAATAACGCCATCTATCAGTTAAAAATAAAACAAGTTAAAAAAACTCATGTTCTAAATGTATATACACCATAGACAACAAAACTGACTGACTTTTTTTTTAAACAAAACTGTAAAAAAACATAAACAATTAGATAGGAAAGTAAAGTAAAAAATATCAAAGGGAAAATAATGATAGGAAAGTGATATTAATTATAGTATACAGATGGTTTGCAGTGCAAGTAATGGCTCTAGCAGGCCAGCCAGAATGCCTACATGTAGTTCTGGAACTGGTAGCTGTAAAGTCAGAGTCAGAGTATTGGGTTCGATTCCCATCCAGGAAAATATTGCATGATAAGCGCGATCATTTCTTCTGTCTGGGTGTAATGTATCTGTAATATCTATCGCTATCGCAGTAGAAAGTAGCTTATGTTACTAGCTGATAATGTAACTTTCCATTGGTGAAAGCAGTTTAAAATCGGTTTAGTGTTTTAGGCGTGACAGCGTAACAAACAAACTCACTAACATTTATAAGTATGGATGTTTGTTGGCAGTCTGGTGACCATAGTACAGATTCGTATAAACTAGGCAGAGAGCTATAGTCCATCAACGTCGTGCGCGACCGTCCTGCGGGGTGACAGACGGTGGCGGGGACGAGGTACTCAAGATGTCAGAGGGTAGCGGGTGGTATAGCGGGGAAGGGAGTCGTGTGTAGCTGTGTGCTAGAATGACGCGCTACCTCGCCCCCGCCACTGTCTGTCACCCCGCGGGACGGTCGCGCACGAGATTGCCGGGTTATAATTTGTCACTATGATTGAAACTGTGAACATCCAGGCATCAAACTTCGAAATGGACCAAGCGGGCATGAAGCACCAGTTGCTGCAGCTCCAACAATTGTTAATGTTCGTGAGTCCCGAGCTCGCCAACCACCTCGTCCAGAAGGACTCCGGGAACATGTTCTTCAGTTTCCGCTGGCTCCTCGTGTGGTTCAAGAGGGAGTTCTCACACAGAGATATCATGAGGTAATAATAATATATATCATGACCAGATTATAAAATTGTGTGTGTCTGTGTGTGTATTTACTTCCCCCCTTCCTAATTCTGGGGGAAGGTACTGAAGGGTGGTGATGGTGTCATACTTTCTAGCCGTGACGTCGCATACGTAAAATGTACAAAATTGTACGCTCATTCAAAAAAATGTACTTCAAAGAATTACGATAAAATAATAATCAAATTGTCATCCAGACAATTTATTTCACTGTGGCAATCGAGTTTTCTACTTCCTTATGAATCAGAAAAAAATTACGAGAAGTGTACGATCAGGCTTTAAAGCATTTTAGGATATGTACTCGTAAATAATTTATGTGGTAACGGATTAAGAATACGGAGTGTCACCACCCCTATTGTTCCCGTGGGAGATACGATATCTTTGATGACATTTGTGAGACCGAGAGTTGATCACCACTGAATTGTGACCGAACTTTTACTTTAGTCTGGAATAGCACATATGGTAAATTAATCCATAAAATGTTTTTTTTTATTTCTTTTTTCCTTGCAGGCTGTGGGAAGTATTATGGACAGGATTGCCGTGTGCAAATTTCCATTTACTAATAGGTGTTGCCATACTCGATGCAGAGAAAGATGTTTTTATCAGTAAAGACTATGGTTTTACTGAAATATTAAAAGTAAGTATTATATTATTTGTTTATAATTTTATTGGTTTTTGTGCTTGTGGCTTATGACAGCCTCGTAACAAAAATACTGGGTCAATAACGCTCTCCCAGATATACGCCTTACAGTTCCGCAGATACTTACAGAAAACCTGTATCAAGCACTATTTTCCGACTCGTATGTCGTGTGGCGACAGATTAAGAATGCTGAGTATTCACCCCTATTTATCCCGTGGGTATAGTAAGAGCTGACTTAGGTAGCAAAACTATAGCACTGCATAGAAAAGGAAAACTTGAAAACCCTATACCAACACGTCTGGCCAGCGTGGTATAGTAGGCTAAACCCTCATTTTTAAAGAGAGTCCTATGCCTAGCAATGTACTACTAAAGGCTGATGATTATGATGTCAAACGGTAAAGAAAATGATTTGTTACTTTTCAGCATGTAAATGACCTCTCAATGTGCCTAGACGTAGACAAGATACTCAGCAATGCCGAAGGAATCTACCACCAGCTGGTTTCATCGCCCAACCTCCCAGACCAGATCCGCGTAACCCTCGGCTTGCCAACTATCAATATATCCACATCCACCCACTCGGAAGCAGACAACAGCAAACCGTCCACTTCCAGGGGAACGGAAAATGGTACGACAGAGACACCGACCATGTTCGGTCAGGACATGGAAGAAGTTATGTATCAAATAGGGCTAGACATGAATTTTTGAGGTGGTGATATATGTCTAATATATGTACCTATTTAGTTAGACGAGTATCATTTTAACTAGCTTTGAAATTACTTAAATACCTTACTTTTTAATCGGTGTACTGGAGTTTTCGATTTTTGGTATATCGGTCATAGCAAAGCTATACCGAAACCGATACAGATTTGGTTGATGCTGTACCAAAATACCGGTATGCGGTAAATAATAAGGTTTCGGTACTCAACTATGTTACGCTAGGATTCAGTTACTAAATGGTTACGGCAACCTCTCAATCGCCTATGGTGGTGCTTTAGTGTATTCTAAAAGTTGTAAATAAATGTATTATGTATAAATTTTTTTTAAATCAGCGTTGTTTCTTTTCGTTTTACCAACCACAGTGAAATTGACTTTAAAATTACTATAGAAAAACGAATAATTAATATTTAAGTAATTTCAAACTGGTGTACTCAGCACGCTTGCACACTACACACATAAATATTTTGGTAAAAATATTTTTTCTAAGGGTTTCGTGCATAGCAGCTTTCGATTTTGTACAGTGTAATATTTTTAAGAGTGCGAATGTATCATTGAAATTAATATTTATTCTGTGATTTATACAAATGAAAATTGACAAGTCAAAGAGGTTAGACAGTGTTAATCAATGAATTTCTCACAAAAACAGTACAAACCGACACTTAACCCCTAACATATATAATATGGATCATTTATACATAGTATAAAGTTGGTACGGAACCCTGAGGAAAGATATCCAAATAATATATTCGTTACTAATCTGCTGCCAAGTATTTTGAAAACTTAACTTTCCGTGACAAATAGGGATGTTGTCAATTGTTGTGGGCCCTTATTCCACACAAAAAATAATATTATTTAAAAACAAAGTAACTGAAATGAATGAACAGTCGTATCTGACACATGAGTGTCAAGTGAGTAATACGTCACTAACCTATAAACTTTCATTGCTAAAGTGACAGTTGTCAGCTTGTTTAACATTTAATGATATCTGCACACTCACGTGATACCCTAGTAAACCCTAGTACCCTTATAAACCTTTTAAGTATTTGAACTAATTTTTTTTTTAAGTCAGAGCTTTAACTTTTATAGCAATTAGTTTTTTAGTTGCATGCAATTTAACTTGCGATGAATGTCAACATCCCTATTAAACAGTAAACACATCCTCTGTAGATAGCTTGCTGGAAAGTTGATATTAGTGACAAACTAATTATTTTACATTATTTTACAAAATGGTTTGGAATTAATTAGTTTTGGGGTTGAGATATTTAAACTATTTTGGAGACTGAAATTAGAATACTTTATAAAGATTAGATTAGAATTTTACTTGGTTAATTTTAAAAACTACTAACCAATTTGATAATAAATTAATGACGTCACTATCTTTACAAATGATAGAAATACCTGGGACGTCACAGATACATAGTGTATATCTAATTTTTTTATGATCTTTCAAAAAGCTGTTCATACTCAAGTGTTGCAATATTAAATAATTAACAGCATGGTATTGGTTTGCCTTAGTAGCTTCTATTATTTCTTTTGGATTATAAAATGTACTCTTAGCAATAATTGTAGGTGGCAACATTACTTTAATATTGGGCATGAATTTAACAATTTTTTCTACTTAATTGCTAGTTTTCCTAAATATGAGTGGTTTTTGTAACTAGTAGCAGTTAGAATTAAAGGAATGGAGTAAACAGCACACTGTGTAAATAGATACTAAACCTTGTTGATTTGTAACATGTTTCCTTTTATAATTAAACCCAACCCCCCCCCCCCTTCCTCATGCTACATTTAGCCGTAACGTTATATGTTAGACTACTACTACTTTAAACTTGTTGTTTTTTTTTTAATTAAGGGCGCATTCTGAATAATTCATGAATTTACTGTTTTTTTTATTGGACCTAGATTTCCAGGACAGAATTTTTTATTCTAATAGAACTTGTTGTGTTGCCTATAATTAAAATGAAATTGGAATCAATTGTAAAATTTAGAGTAACAAGCATTTTGAATGCCCACATAATCTTAATCGAATGTATAAAGTTTTTAAAACGTTAAAATATAAATTTTTCTTTTCAGGATACCCTCGAATATAATGGAATACAAATAAATATAGTTACAAAAACAGTTAAGGCGCTACTTTTTTAGCGACAACATATGTACATATATATATTATATATACATAAATATAGATCACGAAGACAGACTGCGTATAGTAATATTTTTTATATTTTTATATAAACCACACTAACAAATTGATGTAAGTTTGACTTCTATTTTGACTTATCCCACCTTTCATTATAATTTGCCATTTTGGTACATTGACTATGTAGCTTATGTTCGTAATTACATTGACTAATAAAATCAACATATTGTAGGCAATGTTCTGATTATATTCAGCATTAGTTGTTTTACTATTTTTTACATAGTACACTTAAGTAAAATTCTTTAAAAAATTTAATATTAAAGAAGTAATGTTTCTGCTTTTCTAAATTATTTAAATTATACTTTCTTCAGTTAATTTAAAGTTGTGAATTTATTACTTTTATAGTTTTATTTCATTGTTTTGGTTTCTACACCGTGTGGCTCGGAACACCACATAAAAGTTGTGTAAGGTCAGTGATACAACGATGATGATGAAATAATTTTGTATTGGTTTTGTAAAATATAATTAATTGTTGATACAACGATGTAAGGGTTAGGATTTAATATAATTATACTGTAGACTGTTGAAGCATCCTGAAGAAATAATTCTTAATGAAACGTTTCTTGTTTGTAAACAGCGAATATCCTTGGCAGTTATTATATAATATTCCAATCAGCCATCTTTAAGTTTTATCAAAATTTTTTAATCAGTATTTCAGTTTATGAATTCCCAGTGATTAAAGTTACTCACGGCTAAAAATAAAACACCTATTATAGAGGTTTGCTCGGATAGTGGTGATTTTTAATATATGGACACAATTCAGTTTAAATCTGTACAGCAAACTATCATCCGGGGTCATTTATAAATAATAACACCACAACATAATAAACCATATAATACGTTGTGAATGACCTTGACCTCCCACACCCATTCCTGTATTATGTCAGACTTTGTTTACCCTCTTAGTGTGACGTAATTTAAGGATGGCTCCTGATGTGTGTAAGTACCCACAGAGAGATTTTTATCTTAATGATATCAGACTGTACATGATATATATGTTATATTAAACTTAGCACTGTTCAAGAAAATTCACAACAGCATTGATAATGTTACGATCAGCATAGCAATTACGGAAAGCTTAGTCCACGGCCGTTGTAAACTATTCTTTACAACATGGGGAGCATATTCATTTGAATTAATTGTTATAAAAAATTTCGCCATTGGATACATAGTTATGGTTTAAAAAAATGTCTACTAGTAATTAATTTGAGTTTTTGTTCTTTCAATCTTAATTTATGTATTAAAATACTAAATTAACATTATGATATCGAGCAACGGTTGTCACAAAATATATTTATTTATTTCAAATTTAAAATTACTTAACGAATGTTGATTTAGGAAAGAGTGTAAGGTTATTAAACAATTATTAACGAAAATGTACCAGTGTTATATATTAGTTCTGTATTCATCATACATAAAATGTTTTAATATTTTTCACGCTCACGTCTTTAATACCAAAGTGGTCGACAGGCGTACTCAAACACCCATGAATATCATAATAACGCAATCAATATCCAATACAAAAATATTTTTTCGAATCTGATTAATAATTCCAGACTAAACAATTAAACAGTCTTCAACATATAAATAAGATAAAGCTCAAATGAAAATTGTCTAAACCAAAACGCACGACGATAGAGAAAACAAAACTATGAAAACAAAAAACAAAAAAAACAAAACCTTCAAGAAAAGAGCGTACTCCTTCCTAAAAGGCCGGAAACGCGTTTGTGACTCCTGAGTTGCAGACGTTCATGGGCGGCGATGGTCACTTTCCATCAGGTGACCCGTCTGCTCGTCTGCCCCCTCTAATATAAATAAAAACATACATAAGTACAGAAGGAAATCATATTTGTGTATAATTAAAAAAGGATGAAAGTTGTCTTTGTGGTTAATGATATGACCTACAGATTGTCTGTTCATTATCCTGTGTCAGTCAGTCAGTGAGTCGGGTTGCAAGTAGTAACTAACACAGCTACGGTCTACAACCGTTCTCATCAGCAGTTGGCCTGTATACGTTCGCACAGAAAAATCTGTCAAGTTTAATTTAAATTGCTAGGTTCTCAAATGTTCTTTATTAAAATAAAAAATATATTTTTTGTGCCTTGTAGCCATAGACACTATTTTTTTGACGTGACAACGTCTTATAATTCGATGGAGCCGGCTGCACGCACGAAAAAACATGACTCATGCGGCGTTACCTCGCTCTGAGGCGTTCCATTTAAGGCGTGAAGTGCAAGCGAGAGCGCGTAACGAATGACAAAGAGGGACAGTCGGCCTCCGCGTTCGGCAGCGTTCGACATCTGTCTCTCTCCTACTTGAGTGAGCGATGCGTCCGCGTGGACAGCTGCTACTCGTATACAATAATACATTTTTGAAAAATGCAACCATTCCATCAGTATTTTCTTATGACGTTGTCACGTTCAACTATCGTCAGTAAACCGACTTTACAGACAACCGATTTTTTTTTTAAAGATTTTTCGACTAATAGCTAAATTGCCTTATACACAGTGCTTACAATTTCACACAATAGGAGTCAAATTGTTTATCATTTTGCTATTAACATGTCAATTATTTTAATACATTTGTATTCTAATTGTATTGTAAATTTCTTTATGAAAAGAAATCATGCTAGTAAGTTAAGTGCCTCTGTTCGCCATTGTCTCTTATTAATAATTAATTTTGATTGTGATTATGAGCCTTTATGATAAAATCATATCTAAGAATATAATGTTATTAAGGGGCAATTTTATGAAAAACAGCAGTCATCTGTGTTAAAAGGTAGTCTACTTAAAAATGCACCATTGAGAGGGATATTACCTACCATATCATTATGGATAAATCATTATTCGACTTACAAATCATTATTCCACAAAAAAATGATTAAGAGACTTTTTTGGATAACACGATAGAAATTGACATTTATTTGACGTAACTCAGTAATACAATGCATTTGTTTCTGTTTTTTTGGTGAATTATGACAGTGGTACATTGGACCATGAGTTAGAATAACCTTTTATGTTGCTTTTGACACAGAATTCTGCCATTTTTGTCTCTTAATAGAATATTATTTCTATGAAAAATATTTTTAATAAAGTTTCTGTATGTACCTGGTCTTACAAGTTTTATTTAACAACTCCTTTAAAATTATTATCCTTTTATTTATGTAGAGTTTTTCCACAGATTTGATTAAAAGGTATGTCAGACATCATTAAGCAACGGGTTTAACACAATTATATTGCTGGTGGCGTTAACAGAACTGCAGGGATGGCGTAGTGGTTTAAGCGGTCGCCATGCCGCTTCTTACCGCGCTGAGTGTTGTGGGTTCGATCACTACATATATATATACTTTACTCAGCCTATGCTTGTCCACTGCTGGACATAGGCCTCTCCCAATGATTTCCAGCGGGGACGGTTGATTGCGGCCTGCATCCAACGGTTTCCGGCAACCTTTACCAGGTCGTCCGTCCATCGGGTAAGCGGTCGTCCCACACTGCGCTTTCCAGTACGATGAATCGAATCCGCAGGAGAACAAAAGTGTTCGACATAGCCCAACGAATTAGCGCGCTCAAGTGGCAATGGGCAGGGCACATAGCAAGGAGAACTGACGGCCGATGGGGCAGCAAGGTTCTCCAATGGAGACACACAAATTGTTGTTCTGAGTGTTATTTGTGTCCGTTTTATGTATGTTTGTAAAGTTTCCCGCGATGCAAGATATATTTCTAATGCAGGAGTTGTCTTTGAAAAAAAGAAGCATGTAGTATATCCCAAAATGGTCAAGCGGTCTTGTCCTCTCGGTTAGCTTTACCTTACGACTTTAACTTACTTAGGTTTAGACAAATAAAGACAACCTTCAGGTTTAAGGTCCCGAACTAACTCCTGACGAAAAACTTATCGAGCCCAAAGGTCGTAGGTTTGATTCCTACCCAGCACATAATTATGATGTGAAAGATCATTTGTGCTGTGCTGTGCTGTGGCTATCTATTATTATATATTTAGAAATAAGTATGTTTATTAGGAGTCTAATTACCCTTTTTTTTTCTGTGCGGAAATCCCCTCTGATACCACTTACCGGTGGCAATGTCGGACTCGAACCGACTAAAACCGCACGCCGTCTCAGGTACCAGTAGTCGGGGAACCAGGTGTACCCTAGAAAGGAAATCTCTGGTGCCCCGACGTGCCTCGGGCCATCTACGGCGGGTAGACGACCCTCCCTGTGTGGAAACCCCCATGTTCCCTCTGTGCTCCCGGAAGGGCGTGCGCGCTTCATAACGCGCTCGCCGTCACCCCGGAGTCTAATTACCCTAATACATACTCTGCCTAGTATAAGAAAAGATAGCTGTGTGGGATAGGGAGAAGTTATGCAAAAAAAAGCGACTACTGTAGTAGTGGTATTGTACGAAATTCCCATCTTGCGCGAAATTACGGATGCGGCACAGTACCTCGCGGTTAGAAACGGCCGCTACAATGCGATGCGGCCAGCGATCATATCGAATTCGTCCCAAACCAAGATATTGCTTCTGGAGTACACTTGTCGTTTGGATCAACGTACAAACCTCTTCTAACGTCTCTTACTCAATCTTTTATTCAACAGATTCATGTTGAGTAGTCACACATACGAAGATGACAAACAAAAAGGCAGTGGATAACAGATAAACGATTTTGATACGTATCGGTGGTATTTTATAAAAAAACAATTGCACCAAAATACTACATAGAAGAATGGACACTAAAAACAATACTAAGAAGAGATGCTTTAAATTATATTAGTTCCACTACATACTAAGACTAAAAATAAATGAGATCAATAAATAATATTTGTACTATCGTTCACAAATTCAGCACATTCATACTCATTTGCGAATGTGACTTCAAATGAACATTCAATCCGTACCTCGTCTGGTACGACTTATCACATAAGTGGCAATGGAAGTTCTTCACCCCAGTGTGGGTTAGAGAATGTCTCTGCAGCTCAGACTTCGAAAAGAACCGTTTCCCGCAAGTGTCACACCCATATTTCTTCTCCTTCAAATGATTCTTCCGTATATGAGAACTCTTAGAACTTGACGATATAAACGTAGCGTTGCACACTTCACATTTATGGTTTCTCGTTCTCTTGTGATTCCAAAGCACATGGGAATGAAGTCCACCAGGAACTTTGAATTTTTTTGGACAGTATTTACAGCTGTATGCACGTTCACTGCTATGGGTCAACATGTGGATTCTTATATACCCTGGGGGATACGATTTTCCACACTGATCGCATTGACGTAATACTCTTTCAGACTTATTCTTCTCTTTATTACCTACGTTTGGTTGACAGGAGTGTGAATTGAGCTCATCACCACTGTAGAAACCTTCCCAGCAGTTCTCGCACAAGTACGGTTTCAGGTGTAACTTTCTATGCAAGACTAAAGATCGGAAATCCTCAAATTTTTCATTACAATAATCACAATCTCTTCCAACGTCTGATTTCGTTGGATGATGTCTTGCGCAGTGTTCGTTGAGTGATTTAATCGAATGGAACTCTGCTTTACATTCCACACAAAAGAGCAATCTCATCTCTTCTTCTATTGGGTCTACCTTCTTAATAGGTCTATTTTTCACTTTTATATGGGAATTTGGCTTTTGATCATCAGATTCAAAGGTGCAGTCGTAATTGTCACTGGTCGACTCCAGTAGGTTAAGGCTATTCAACAATGTTTTTGAACTAGATTCTATGAGTAATTTGAAGGAATATGTTATAGTTAGCTGATGGACACAGTTGATGCAGATATTCTCGGGATACGTCGGATCTGAAGGGACCTGCGCAAACAATTAAGATTTCTAATTTAAAAAAAGTTCGAATCATTTCAATTAAGTTGTGTGCTCATATTGTAGGCAGAAACACCAGTTGGTTGGTGTTAAAAGTATTTGTAGGGATGGTCTAATTCTTATTTCAGTTTTTTTATTATTTTAACAATGTTTTTTCTACTGTTTCATCTTAAGATGTAAAAGATTGCCACAGTGCAGTGCAATAAGGCCGTCTATTGTACTACCCTCATTATACTGCGTTTTACTTCTGGTACTAAGCAATACCAACCCCTACAAATTATATTAGTATGTAGTAATAAATATTAATAATTCGAAGGGAAGAAAGTCGATTCTCGTAATAAAAGTTCGGTTACAATTCAGTTCTGATCAACTTTCGATCTTAAAACCTATCATAAAACATATTTTCGGTTCTGGTTGTTGTGTCAATACTCGGGGAGGCTGCAGCTGACGTCTTTCAGATAAGAAGAATTCCAAAATTCGTTGCGAGTTATTCCCAGTTTATTATTCACATTTATTTAAATACTATGCGTTTGTTGTTATAACCGCGGGCAACGCCGCGGGGCGAAGCTAGTCTAAAAAAGTAGCCTAAGTTACTCCCTATGCCATCAGCTATCTGCCAGTGAAAGTCCCGTCGAAATCGGTCCAGCCGTTCCAGAGATTACCCGGAACAAACAGACAGACAGACAAAAATTGTAAAAAAATGTTATTTTGGCATATGTACCGTGTGAACATACATATACATTTAGTAAAAAGCGGTTATTTTAATATTACAAACAGACACTCCTTTTTATTTATTTTTATAGATAGATATTGTTCCAACTAAAAATAGATCTGAGGGTTTTACCTAAATATAGAAATCATCATCATCAACAGCCTTTCATAGCCCAGTTCTGGGCATAGGCTTCTCCTTAGAAAGGAGGTGGCCTCCTATACCACGCTTGCCAGACTGGTTGGTATAGAGTTTATATCCAGCTTTCTTTCTCTTGCACTGCTGTTCTCATGCGTAGTTTGCTCCCTTAGTCGGTTCTTACGACACCCATAGGATGAAAAGGGGGGTGACATTCCTAATTCCTTATATTATTCTGGGGAAATAATTTCTCTAAATACCAAATGGTAAAAAAATCATAGAGGAGATCATGTTCAATGAATATGAATACGGAAAAATTGTTAATTTTCATGGGATAATAAAAGACACATTTCAAAATAATAGTTCATTAAATTTTGGACTGCACAGAGGGTGTAGTGGTTTAAACAGTCACCACACCGCTTCCTACTGAGTAGTTTTGTGGGTTCTATACCCACATAGGACACCACTTTGTGTGATCCACAAATTGTTGTTGTGTCACATATGTTTTTAAAGTGCCGCACAATATATATATTCCTAATGCAGCAGTTGTCTTTTTTAAATAAGTAAATAAAAAATCAACATAAAATCCATTTTAATAACAATATTTTTTCATTTATTATTGTCAGGTTTAAGTTTTAAATAAGTTTATAATGATTCTTAATTCTAATAAATATATGGTAATTTCTTTTGTTTTGTAGCAGTTAAAAAGTCTTTAAATTCAGACTTATGTTCGAGTTTAGCATTAAAAATTTGCCTGTCTGAATTTTTGAAGTATGTATTACTGTAGTGGGCCAGCCAGCACTACTTATCAAACGGCAGAATAAGAAGTAATGAATCATTTTAGTACATCAACACCTAGTTGGTGTACTAAAATAATTTTTCACTGAAAGGAGGCTAAACTTTAACTAAAAAAATATACATATCTAACAAGAATACATTTTTGTATTGACATAGGTTTAAATTGGCCAAAATACACATTTCATATTAACTACATTATGAACCTACAATTAAAAACGTATTCTAATCCTTAATGTAAATAAAACAGTACAGAACAAATGAATGTTTACCTTAAAATTATAAAATTTCTGTAAGATTTCTGTGAGAGAGACATCTTCTCCGGCTATTCTTATAGTCGAATGTATGATACGCATATCTTTCTCACTGCCCAAACAAGTACGACATCGAGTTTTATACTCCATTTTATTTATAAATGTTAGATGCCTGCCTTATTTCCTCGAATACATGTCTATTATTTATTTTTGTTGACATCAATATTTTTGTGACAGCCTTAATGTCAATGTCTTTTTTAACGGAATTGTTTACTTTTGGTGACAAATTCATGGGGCCAAGTTATCTTGTTTTACATTTTACTAAGGATATTCCAAAATATTTTGTTGTGTTTTAAAATGTTACCCCTGAGATTGATAAAAGTGCCGTCCTTTGAGTTTTAAAAAAACCCTAAAAAAATTTTTTTAAGGGCACTTCAAAGGGGAGGAAAAAACCCCTTTGTCCCTTTTAAAAAAAAAAAGGTTGTTGGGGCAGGGAAATTTCACTTACATTTTTTGATGAAAAAAATGGTTCTTTTTGGGTTTTTGCTTTCCCCTTTACAAAACAAAAAAAAGGGAATTTTTGCCCAGAGTCAAAATGTTTGGACAATCTTAAAACGAAAATAAAAAAAAATTTTTTCCGGTTGCTATTTAAAATTTTTACCAGGGTTTTAAAACAATTTTCACTCACAAAACCAGTTTAAAAAAAAAACATAATAAAGGGGAAATTTTAAAAAATTTGGAAAAAACCCCCTTACAAAAACAAACCAAAAAAAAAAAAACATTTTTCCCAAAAAACCCCCAAAAACCCAAAAATCAATAACAACAACACACCCCCCCCAAAACCCAAAAAAAAAAAAAAAAAAAATTTAAAAAAAAAAAATTTAAAAAAAAATTTTTGGGAATTTTTTTTAAAAATTTTTTAAAAAATCAATATCGGGGAAAAGGGTTTGGGGTTTTTGGTATGGTTTTTTCATAGTGAAATTAGGTATTTTAAAGGGGACATTTGGTGATTAACATTTACCCCAAATTAAATCAAAAGGGTCAAGGGGGAAAAGGGGACGTATAGCCCGGCCGAAAAAGCTACTACCAAAAAATCTTTTCAAAAATTTTTAATCACGTTTTGATAGAAGACGCCGAGTATATCAATTAATATTCTTTTTTAGTCAAACTAAAGTTCATCATTTTTACTAAGGATCAAAAAATAAGACTAAATCTAACAGGAGCCCGTTTTAACCCAAATTTAAAATTGTATTCTGTTTGGGCAAATACGAAAAGTCAAAGCCCTGAAAGCTAGGCAAAAATGTCAGAATTCAGAACAATGTTTTCTGAAATTCTCAAATACCGAAAGACCCGGCTTGTAAAAACTTTAAATAAAAAGCCTGCCGGGCAACGAAGAAAACTTTTAAAAAAAAACCAAAGGTAAAAAAGAAAAAAAATTTAAAAAAAATTTAGCACAAGTTTATTCCCTACGGTCACAATGTCGTTTGGGGAGAAAACTCCCCTTTAGCGCTACAGGCGGGAAAGCACCCAATCGTTATTGGAAATCTAAAGCCAACTTGCAGTACAAAAAATCAGTTGTTACCGAATTTATCGAAAAAAAACTATTTAAAATGGCCACAATCCGAAACGATTTTGGAAACGAAATGACATGGGGGGGAATCAAAGAAACCGTCGATAAAGCCCAAATCGAAGATGAAAAAGGGTTTTGAAAGTGAGTGAAGAGATAAATTTTTAATGCAAAAGCGAAGTACAAGGAGGAAGCTAAACCCGAAAGAGAACGTTTGAAAGCTTTGAAAAATACGAGCACAATTTGTTTAAAAGAAATGGAAGCTTGCCTACTAAAAGTACTGAAGATAAAGAAAAACCCCCTCAGAGTTGTAGGGAAAGAGAATTGGCGAGAATCGCGCTTTAGAAACTTTTAATTGAGCTCACAATTTTTAAGTAAAGTGATCAGACAAACCTGAATACGGCCGAAAAATACCCTTTTAAAATTAAATTAATTAGTCATTATTTTAACTTTACATTTTTAGATTTAAGATATACTGTATTTTGTAAGAATAAAAAATTTTTGGTATGCATTATTAGTTTATTAAAAGCCGAATGGGAAAGTGAATCAAAAGCATTTGAAAAATATGGGCTATGTAAATACCCATTTTGTCACATGGAATGCACATTCATTAAAAATTTGGGTAGTACAAAAATAGAGATAGATTAACAACGGGTTTTGAGTTTTAAATGTCAAACAGGTCAAAATTTAAGGGTAAAAAAAAACAAAAGGGCCCGAAGTTTCTGTTTATTATATATGACAGTTCTGAATTCAATTACTTTGGAATTTAGAATATTAATTGGCTCCTTATTGCGGTAACATTTGTAACATGTAACATGCCAACCTATGAACATCATCACTGCAATTTCATGGGAACATTCTTTGTAATTTCATGGGAACACAAGTAAAATTAATTATTTTTGAAAATACAGGGGTTTAAAATTTTGAAAAGCATTTTAGTCAAGTAGTAGGTAGCGACTACAGTCCATGGGGGGTCTCGGGTTTTTCGATTCCCCTTACTGGGCAAAATTTTTATTTTTGAGAAAAAATTTCCTAAGTTCTTTTTATGTAGTTTTTTTCCTTTTAGAAACGCAAATATTTAAACTTTTTGGGGTAAAAAGGATGATGCAAAGAATAGGTTAGCATGATTTTTTTTATTATTTAGACTTACAAACATACTTCAATTCTATTTTTTGTATAGATTATAAGTTCCACAATCTATCTTGTAAAAAAAAAATAAACGGTCAGGTTTTTCGAGCGAACTCGTGCCCCAGGGTTTTCCGTTCCTCCAGATTTTACGAGATTTTCGCGGAATTTTTTTAAAATACAAAATTTATCCCTTTAAAACCCATTCAACTTTTTTATTTTTTGGAAAAGTTCCCCTTTTTTGTGCTGTAAAACGTTTTACTTTTTCCAAATTTTTTGATTTAAGGGAAAAGGGAATACCATAAATTTGGTTTTTGCCCCCCAAAAACCTATAGGGTATTCCCGGTTTACTAGAATTGTCCCAAATTTTTGGGTTTAAAAGCAAAATCTTCAGCACAAGAAAGGAGAAAAATTCGAAAAAAAAAAAAGTTAAAATTAAGGGAATTTGGACCTTTCAAGTTTTCGGACAATCGAAATTTGCCCCCCAAACTTTTTATCGTGTTGACTCGGACCAGTTGATTTTTTACACCTAATAAGGACCAAGACCTCAGTATCTGGTATAAATTCAAATTGTAGGCCCGGGTAGGCCTAGCAATTTAAAAATTTTTTAGAATCTATAGAATTTTTAAATTCTGAGAAAATCGGTGGGGACACACGACAGCCCCAACAGAAAGTGATCTTATAAAGGGGTTTCCTTTTTTTTCCCTTTTTAGGTAGGACCCTAAAAACTACGGGGCATACCCCAAAGCTTGATCAGGTCTCGGATCTGGCCCCTTTCAATAAAAACAAGAAAAATCAATTATGGCATTCGAAAATCGATGAAAATCTTTTCGAACAAATTTTCTTTTCAATTTGCGAGACCTTGTTTTTTTTAAGTGACGTCCTTTTGACAAATGGTGTCGACCCCCTTTGTTTATGAAATTTATGACTTTCGTGGGGCTAAATCAACAAGAATTTCCAGGGGGCTCAATTAGCATTTTTTGATAAACGTGATCATCTCCATGACGAGGGTTTTGAAGGGCGCCCCACAAACCCCGGTTACAGAAACCCCAATATTGAACCGTAGACGCTTATTGTCTATTTTTAGGCATTGAAAGGGGCCAAATGAAAAACTTTTTACAGTGCAAATGGGTTTGGAAGTTTTGACTTAATGAAACCGCATGGCTTAAGAAGGACCGAAAATTTAAGGAGGGCATATGGGCGTAAAAATCGTGGGGGTGACAAGGGGGGGTACTTGGGACCAAAAAGGGAAAAAGCCAGTACCGGGGGTACCCTTTTAAAAAAATTTTTAATTGCCTTTATCTCATTTTTCACTTAAAAAGGGTTTTTTTTTGGGGGGGGGGGGGGGGCATTCACCATAAAATTTGTAAAGTTTGTTTTCCCTAGCATGGCGCCAAGCAGCAAAATAATACGGCAGTTGTTTAGATATTTTTCGCTAGATGGCGCTAAAAGTATGTAAGGTGCACGTGACGTTATCGTTCAATCCAAATAAGTTTACAAAGTTTGTCAATGAAACGAGGTAAGTTAAAAACTAGTACTTAGCATAGTCTTATGAAAACCGGTTAAACAAGAAATATAATTTTTTTTGGTGTGTAGCAAACTCCACCTACCGTAGAAAACCTACACAATATTATGTTATAATACCTAAAAAATTGTGTACAGTACATTTTTGCAAACGTTTAACTAAGTTTTAACGGAGTATAATAATAGCAATAAGAAATCTACTGGATGTTGAATACAACCATGATGCAATCAATTTTGAAACTATTAGGTATGACTATTATTTAACTATTTGCGCCACGAATTGAGTTATTCTTTTACAGTAGGTAAAAGTTGTTTAAACCTAGGTACTATATTGATATGGACTTTTCGTACAAAAGATGTAAGAATTACCGTAAAGGTAAAAGTTTTAGCTTTTTGTGCTGCCGAAAAACATCAGAAAGTCGTAAATGTGGAATTTATTGAGATCAATAGATATGTTTTTTATAGTAATAGGTGGGCGTCTTGCAGGGGGCCATGGGCGGAGGAAGTCACTTGATATCAAGTGACCTGTCTGTTCTGTTATACCTCCTATACTATAAAAAAACATTCACACATATTTACTGTTTTTTTTATACAACTCAAGAGTCACAAATTTTATGGGTAATTAAATTTTATTTCCCCCCCCTTTGAATAATCCCCCCCCCTAGAATCAGAGGGCTTGGACTCCGGTAACCTCACTCACTCGATGAAAAGTAATGAAAGAATTGCCTAACACCGATTTTGTGAAGCCGTGGTATCACTCCGGTTGAGCCGACCCATTTGTTTCAAATCATGACCCTCCCAATATGTGTTTACACGCTCATATGGACTAGTACAATATTGTTTCGTATCCATTTTATAAGAACGTGTATTAGTTATTGATGATCGTGTTGGCAAGCTACGTTGTAAATACTTGCCAAACATCAGTGTCCACTCT